TAGAAATAAAAATGAGTCTAGCAAAATAAAGGATTCACAGCAGTGTTTATGTATTTAAACGATTTTAAGGAGCATACTTATGCAGGAATTCCACAGGATTTGCATTTTCAACTCCCACCCTGTAATCACTCAGTGATTAAAAAAAATCAGCAATAGAGAACAAGCACAATGTAGGACTTTGCATCCTTCATTTTTTTTTTGTCTGTCAGTTGTGGGGCTTGAACTCAGGGCCTGGGTGCTTTTTCACTCAATGCTAGTGCTCTACCACTTTCAGACATAGCACCACTTCCAGTTTTCTAGTAGTTAATTGGAGATGAGAATCTCACAGACTTTCCTTCTCAGGCTGGCTTCAAACCCAGATCTTTAGATTTCAGCCTTCTGAGAAGCTAGACTTTAGGTGTGAGTTAAGTTAAAATTTTGTTAATAATTCATTTTTATGAAAGTAAGAATAGATAAAAAGTAACATATCTACTCTTTTATATTTAAATTTTACTAAGGCTTGATATTTGGCAAATGATAAAAATCTTTATATCACCAGATTTTTCAATATAAAAAGTTTGTTATTCTAATTATTTGTGTTATTCTACTGCTGCAAATTTATCAACAATATACATCTAGGGTAATAATTGGATTACTATTTCAGCCTGGATATTAGTATTTTTACATGCAAGTTTATTAACATTCTGGTTTCATTTAATTTCATAGTATTAGTTATAGTAGTGAGGTCTTATTAAAGTGCTTCCCATTATTTAAAATTGTTTTAGCCATTCTCAGGGACCTTAATGACTTTGATTTCTTTAAGTCTCCTATCATGGCAGTATTGTTGTCAGCTTTATCTAAATGGATATTATTTCCTCATCAGTGAACTACTGATGGTAAGAAGTTTGGGAAGTTTGCTTTCATATATTTGCTGATGACTTTCATGTGTCCTTTCTTAAGAATTGTCCTAAAATGTCCCCACTCTATTCAGTGAAGTTATTTATGCAGATCTTTATTCTGTTTATTTTTTATGTCCTAAAGATGACTTAAGAATGAATATGTTTTTCTGTCATTTTCAGCAGAACACAGTTAGTCCTTCCTTGGAATTCTATTCCATTGTTTCAAACAGTCTTTCACTAGCTCGAGGTTCAATCAAGTGAATTGAAGACAGAGACAATTATTTTTGTCTTCTCAAAAGTTAATACTTTGGGTCTGGCTTACTTCGCTTAATATTGTTCTCTTTTGGTCACTTCCAAGCCAGCATGTTATTGTTAGTTTTCTTGATAATGGCCATTCTAACTGGGGTGAGGTGAAATCTCAATGTTGTTTTGATTTGCATTTCTTTTATGTCCAGAGATGTTAAACATTTGTTCATGTGTCTATTGGACATTCTTCTTCTGAGAAGCCTCTTTTTAAGTCTTGTTTCCTTCATTTGTTGTTGTTGTACTAGAAAGTGCCTAGAAACACAAATAAACACATGGGATGGTAAAAGACAAAAAATATATCCTTTGGCATGATAAATCATGCATGACTCTAGACTTTCACATAATAAGACCAAAGGAGGATAATCTTAAGAGAGGATCACAAAGGCTTAATAGCTATGTGCATATAATATTCATCAAAATGAACGCCAAGAAATGAAAACAAGAGGTTTTATGTTATTTTGCTTCTTGTTTTGTTTTGTGTTTTTTCTTCCTTTATTGATGTTTTTATTTCTGTACCTTTTGTCTTCTGTGTAAGTTTCTCTGTTTTGGAAAGAGTCATAGGGAACATAGAAATGGTGGGACAAAGGGTAAACAAATGTATCAGTGATGCTCACTACATACTATGTTGAAAATGAACTGTTCAACTTGTGGTGGAGGGGTTTCTAGAGGGAAAAAGTGGGAGAAAATGAGGGAAGAGCTGACACTGTTCAAAAAGAAATATATTCATTACCTGATTCATGTAACTGCAACCCCTATGTACATCACCATTATAATAAAAATGGTATTTTTAAGAAGTTAGTAATGTTTCTTTAGCAATTGTTTAAAATTTATGTTCCATAGTCAGTTTTGACGTTTTAGGGACTTTTTTTCTTGTATTTATCATTTTTGAGTGTTTTTACTTTTTTTTTTGATGAATAGACGGTTATGTTTCTTAGGTACATATCAGCTCTTCTCTCTTTTATACAGAGATAGCTTACCTTCACTTCCTCTTCTACACTTCCTTTCTGTTTTGGGTGCTCTTTTCTTTGAGGTTTTAGAATTTCTACTGGAGGATTAAATATTGATGATTTTTAGTTTATGTTGTCAGTCATATGGAAAGAAAATGAAAGTGGCTGTCTATAAAGTTGACTTGCAGGTAGATTTCCAATCACTCTTCCCAAAATAAATAAAATATTTTTATAGAATAATACTTAGTTTGCCTGGCATCCAACTATACGTTCTTCTGTAAGTCTAGCCCATCTTCTTAGGATGAGGATTCTTCTACATGGGCATTTTATTTCCCATGGCCAGTTACATTCTTCACTTGCTTTTTTCCAAAGTTAGTGATAGAAATGATCATGCTTAAAGATTTTCCTGCTGGGTGTGCCTACTTAATCCCTGATATTTCAGAGATAGAGAAGACCAATGTTCAGAACTTGCCTAGGCAAAGTTAGGAAGCCTGCAAGCAAATCAAGCATGTATCAACTACACAGGAAGTGGAGGTAGGAGCACTGTAGTCCAGTTTGGCCCAGTTAAAAAGTATGATATCCTACCAGAAAAAAATAGCTGAAGCATAAAAAGGGCAGGGTGTGTGCCTCAAGTGGTAACATGCTTACCTAGGAAATATGTGGTCCTGCTTTCAAACCCCAGTACTACTAATAAGCAAACAAATAAATTCATAAACATAATAGAGAAAAGGGATTTGTGCTTTATGCTCAGGTCATCTCACCGAGTTTCTACACAGGAAAGATATAATTTATAAAATGTAATTTAAGGAATGTTCTGGTTTATATTAATGTTTTTACTTTCTTTTACTTTTGTGAACGTCATTAGGTCGGAGAGAGAATTTATCACACGACTTCAGCCACTAAAGCCAAGTTTACTTGCAGACAACCTGTTTGTTAGAACTTACTTTAAGCTCAGCTCGGTACCTTGCATGTGTGTGTGTGGACATGACATTGTCCTCTTTGATCATCTCAAGGGTGTTTACAGAGCACTGGCCAGGGAGAAACCAGAGAATGATTTGCAAGGTGCTGATATGTGTAACAAGGAGAGGAAATATTTCATATTTACTTAAAGAAAATGAACTTGTAAAGGAATCATTTACCTTAGCAATAGACAGTCATTTGCTTAGAAAATGGGAGAGGAGGAAGAAAGGCACTGAGGTAAGGAGACTCTTCAGGAACTCCACTTTGGAACTTCAACATGGCTGCAGAGATTGGCAGAGAGTCAAGAGGAGAGTCTGTATGGCTGTGGTTCTTAATTCTCATATACTAATGGTCCTGTTTACATTAATGTTGTTAATGAAGCCACATTAAATTCAATGCCATTGTCACACATGTGTAAGGCAGGTCCAATAGGCAAATACATTAGAAAGGTTTCTTTACCCCCAGCTTTAGACCTGTTCTCTGTGTTCATCTGATGAGAATCAATTATATAGTAGGTGAATGCATTTGTGTTAGTCACACTTGGGAAAAGAAAATATGGAAAACATAATATATGCAAAGATAGATACAACATAGAGGAATGCCTTTGAGATGTTACTCTGTGATAAATGTGCTACAGACTTCAAACTTGTCGTAGATGCCCACTGGCTTTGTGAGTCTCTAAAACCATCATTGAGTAACATTGGTCAAGATGCATTGTACTTAGGAATTGATTTGTTGAATGGTAATCCCTTTGTATCACTACTTAAAGATAAAAATATAATTTAAAATGCTATTCTCATTAAACAACATATACAGATGACTTACTTAATAGCAAACAAACAAAACCAAAAATACCTCCTGATCAAAGTATCTTTTAGCTATACGATAAGAAAAGGTTTGTGGGCATATATGCTTGGGAAGGACTTTGTTTTTCTTTTTTCCTTCAGTGTTCCAGATGAAACACACAGCTTCCCGTAGGCTAGGCAGGTACTATATCACTGAGCTACATTCCAGCCTACTCCTTGGTAAGTGTGCACATGAAGGACAGACTGGTCTCTTCATAATAGCACCAAAATCAAAATCTTCCTGAGTAGTATAATTTCACATCTTAATTTGGAAAAAAGACATCTCTCTAATTACATACTTAAAGCCACAGAAACCACATTTTCATCTATTTTGGAGGTGATTTTACAGTATGAATCACTTCAGAAAGAAGAGATTGAAAATCAAGAAATAACATTTCTTTATTACAAATGATTTTAGGGGCCAGAAGCATCTTTGGTTGTCATTAAAGGAACCAAGAAAAAATGTAAAAATAAGCCAAAGAAGATATAAATAAAAACTGAAAGAAAGAAAAGGAAACAAACGGTATGGAATGAATGGAGAGGGGTATAATGTCAGAAGAAATACCTTTACTCTCATCTACTAACTATGCTTTTTGGGTCCAGGACACATGATCACTTGGGAGTTGGTTTGTAATTGATGACAATCATATATAGTCAAGTCCAGCTTGTAACCTTATAACCAATTCTCATACTTTGGGGGAAGATTGTGTAATTGACAATTACTTAAGTGAAATGTCAGTTATCTGTCTCTAGATAGAATTTTCTGAGTTTCTGGAAGTACAAAGACAATACTGTACAAGAGTAAATTGATTAGACTAAAAGGATGGTCTGATTTATTTCTGGCAAAAGAAGATGGTTCAAATATGCTTGGTATTTTCTGAATATCAGAAAAATAATTAAGGCATCAAGAGTTAACCTAGTATATTCATGTAGAAATATACCTGATTGGAAAGTAGAGGAATCTGTCATTAATTATAATGCTGTGTCTTCTAAGCCATAAGTGAACTAAGTTGATATATTATCTTTCTCAGCTGTGTGGGAGTCATCAGGAGAGTTCTCTGCTCATGGGGATGCTGAGGAGTACCAAGGAGAGCAACCTAACAGGTTTTATCCTGCTGGGATTCTCTGACCATCCTCAGCTTCTGAAAATTCTGTTTGTGCTCATCCTGATCTTGTATTTGCTTACCATTTTGGGGAACACCACAATCATTCTGATCTCTCATGTGGAACCCAAACTACACACGCCAATGTACTTCTTTCTTTCTCATCTCTCCTTCCTGGACCTGTGCTTCACCAGCAGTGTTATTCCTCAGCTGCTAGTGAACTTGTGGGATCCCTTGAGAGCTATCACCTATGGGGGCTGTGTGGTTCAGCTCTATGTCTCCCTTGCATTGGGATCCACTGAGTGTGTTCTCCTGGCCGTGATGTCCTATGATCGCTATGTGGCTGTCTGCAGACCCCTCCATTACACTGTCATAATGCACCGCGGTCTGCGCATGACTCTGGCATCTATGGCATGGCTCAGTGGAGTGGCCACCACCTTGGTACAATCCACCCTCACCATGCAGCTGCCCTTCTGCGGACACCGCCGAGTGGATCACTTCATATGTGAGGTCCCTGTGCTCATCAAGTTGGCTTGTGTGGACACCACCTTCAACCAGGCCGAGCTCTTTGTGGCTAGTGTCTTATTCTTAGTGCTGCCCTTGTCACTCATCTTGGTCTCCTATGGCTACATTACCCAAGCGGTGTTGAGGATCAAGTCAGCTACTGGGAGACAGAAAGCATTTGGGACGTGTTCCTCCCACCTCCTGGTGGTCACCATCTTCTATGGAACCATCATCTTCATGTACCTGCAGCCGGCCAAGAGTCGATCCAAGGACCAGGGGAAGTTTGTTTCCCTCTTCTACACGGTGGTGACCCCCATGCTGAACCCTCTTATTTATACCCTGAGGAACAAGGAAGTGAAGGCAGCACTTAGGAGAGTGTTAAGGAGGCATCTGAGAGAGCATTCTACATAATTATAAAAATACTTTTTAAAGTGACTTTGCCACAAAGGTCTTTTATGTTGAAACAACATAGCAGCATTCGGCTGGAGTTGTTTTGGAGTCCCCCCATTTTTAGGCTAATATTTTTAATTATGTAACATAGTATGGAATATACATAGAATCCCAACTTCACTACTTCACTATTGCTCAATAATAATATAAGGGGAACCATCTTTTTTTTATTGTGAAAATACCATACAGAGGGGTTACAATTACATGGGCAAGATAATGAGTACATTTCTTATCAAGCACTGTTGCCTCCTCCTTTGTTTTCTCCTTCCCATCCCTTCCCATCTCCCCCCCCCCTCAAGTTGTAAAGTTTGTTTTTCGACATAACAACTTGTACATCTCATCAGGTGAACCATCTTTGTAAATAATGTTTCAGTATCTTTGCTAGCCACGTTATTTATGTAGCAAATATGATACTCATTTTAAATGTGTAACATAAATATGAAAAAATTCACTATGTTTAGCCCAGTCAACTACCTTTCCTTTTGGTATCAAGGGAACCATGCAGTCTCTGAGGTTCTCTGCAGTGCTAGATAGAGATGTGATAGAGATGAATGTACACGGGATAATTTTTTAAATTTTATTTTATTGTAAAGATGCTGTACAGGGGTTACAGTTACGAGAGTAAGATAATGAATACATTTCTTGTAGAACGTTGTTACCCTCTCCTTTGTTTTTCTTCTACTATCCCTTCCCTCCCTCATCTCCCCCCTCCCCCTCCCAGAAGTTGTAAAGTTCATTTCCAACATAGTGTCTTGTGTATTCATTCTGTATTTCATCTACTTAAGTCATGAAAAGATATGCAGAGGTATGCAATAAATTGGGAACAAAATGCTAGGTTAACTGATTAATCTGTTTGGTATTAGATTGTAGTCTGGTTCTTAAGGAGAGGGACAGTTGTATAACTTCCCATGGCTTACAAAGATATGTAAATAATAATACCAGTTATTGTTATTATAGATCTTCATTTCCATTATAAAACATTTTTCTAATTTTTAAAATTAGTGATTTTGGTAAAAGCTTAAACTGATTTATGTGTTTACACTGACAGTGATCTTTATTGCATGTGGGTTGATTGTAATGACATATGCTTGTGACATTTCTATTGTGGCAATGAAGACCTTTTAACTTAAGAATTTTTCGTGAACACTTATATATATATATATTTTTTTTACAAATGGTAGACTAGTGCTCTACCACTTGAGCTACAGTTCCACTTACAGCTTTTTTTGTTAACAGTGGAGATAAGAGTTACAGACTTTCCTTCCTGGGCTGGCTTCAAACCACAATCCTCAGATCTAAGCATCTTGAGTAGTTAGAATTATAGGCATGAGCCACTGGCACCTGGCTTATATTTAGATTTTTTTTGATTGTCATTTTACTGAATAGATTTAAAAGACTTTAATTTTTGGGTCAGCTACTTCTTGTACAATATAGATTTGCTCTGTTGTATCCCATAAATCTTGAAAGTTATGCATGATTGGCTTATTGCATTTTTTTCTTTCTTGCTAGCTGGGTTTAATAATTCTTGAACTTTGTTTCCCTTACCCAATATTTTCTTTCTGTTTCATCTCATTTACTCTACAGACATAAATTAGATTAATTTTAGGAATTTTATATTCAAGACTTTAGTTCTTTTTTTTCAGCATGTCAACCTCTTGGCAGAATTTCTCAATGAAATCTTGAATTGAGTTCTTCCTATTTCTGTTCCATTGCTTCCTCCTTGAGGTAATGGATTCTTTTAAAAATCTAGACATTTGACTTATTAGTTGGAAACCAGTCATTTCAATATGTTTGGATTTGTTTTTGGAGTTTTAAACTTCCAAGGGAGTTGGCATTGCCTTGATTTTCCATAGTTCTTATATTTCTACATTGTGCTTTTCATGTCACATGGATACAATGCTTGTTTAATATGGTGGTCTTAATGGCTAACTTTCTCAACAGGTCTCAGTCCCCCACTACCATTCAGTATATGAAAACCTACAGCCAGCATTATACTTAATGGTGAAAAACTAAAGCCATTTCTTCTAAACTCAGAGGAAACATAGCAACAATATCACCAATTCAAAAATAAATATAGTTAAAAAACAATTGTAAATGATATTACCCACATTATACTGCCACAAAGACAGATAGATAGAACAAGGCAAAAGCATCTGTGTCCAGGAAATTAATTCATGCAGCCCAGGGCCATCTGAGTGCTAATAGTGTGGCCTAAACCTATGATGTAGAAATAGTATTTTCTATAGCAAGTTATGCTGAAAGAACAGGATATCTATGTAGATAAGACAAACTAGATTCCTACCTTTCATTCTGTACACAAACCAACTTTATATTGGTCAAACACTTTTGTGCAAGAAGTTATACCTTAAAACTACTGGGGAGGGGGGTGGGGGTGTAGGGGAGACAAACTACCAGAGAAAAAATAAGTAAATAAGTTGAGATGTAGGCATAAACAATGACTTTTTGAACAGAGCCTGAGGTTACATAAAATTAACTACCAAAAAGCTGGAAGTGGAAGCTGGGTGCTGGTGGCTCATGCCGTAATCCTAGCTACTCAAGAGGCTGAGATCTGAGGATCATGGTTCAAAGCCAGCCTGGGCAGGAAAGTCTGTGAGACTCTTATCTCCAATAAACCACCAGAAAACTGTAAGTGGCGCTGTAGCTCAAGTGATAGAGTGCTTACATTGAGCTGAAGAACTGAGGGACAGTGCCCAGGCCCAGAGTTCAAGCCCCACAACTGACAAGAAAAAACAAAGACATCAATATCATATCTGCACTTGAATGAGTTCAGTATTT